TCAAAACGGCAACGACCCACACCAAGAAAATCATAAACACAACTCGAGTTTTCATGGAAACAAGTTCACTTAACCGATCTTTCTCTTCAGGCAAAGCATTGAATTCCTCGATAACTACCTCAATTAATGCATTCAAAAGCTTCTTAGATTGGAGATCAGCATTCGTTGAATTCATAACTTGAATTCGAGCTTGCTTGAGATGATTCACCACCACCTCTGCCTCCACAGAGACAATGTCCGCACTCTTTTTGGATTCGGCAGATCTGCAATGACTGACTGAGACATCAACTACTTCATCCTTGTCCACAGTGATAGTGGACGACAATGGAGTCAGATCAGATAGAGAAAACGAGCTTGTTTGAGATGATTCGCCACCACCTCTGCCTCCACAGAGACAATGTCCGCACTCTTTTTGGATTCGGCAGATCTGCAATGACTGACTGAGACATCAACTACTTCATCCTTGTCCACAGTGATAGTGGACGACAATGGAGTCAGATCAGATAGAGAAAACGTCTCCAATGACGGCGAAATCACCTGATTCGGTGATGCGATGAAGCTCTGAAACAGAAACGTATTCAAATTCACTCTCAAAACATTTACAAATTACTATCCGAACAGTGCTTGTAAATCAAACAATAAGCAACATTGAATCGCGAAGTATAAAAAATAAAAATAAAAAACAATAATGATCAAACTCTATGCAACATTGAATAAAACACGGCCAAACTGTATGAATCAATCACTCAGTGTAGGTAACCGAAACATATTCAAATTCACACTCAAAACAATTAACAAATTAATATCAAAACAGTGTTTGTCAATCAAACAGTAAGCACTATTGAATTTGCGAATTGAATAGGGCAAGAAAAATGTTTGGTGGCCACAATATTCGCGGCTCAAATGGCTCGAATTGACCAAAATGACATCGTTTTGTGTTGTTTTGTGTTCAAAACGACGTCGTTTTTGTCAATTCGAGCCATTCGAGCCTGGGAAATTCGGGCCCTCTATCATTGCTGATAAGGCAATAACCATCAAACACTAAGCAACAGTGAATAAAACACGATCAAAAGTACGAATCAATCACACAAAGAGTAGGTAACATTCAATTGAGAAGTGAAATTCGAATTTACCTCTGTGGATTCACGGAGTTGATTATCCTCGGAAATCTCTGAGATAGAAGAGAACTCGATCAAGTCTTCTGAAACCGATGTAAATACAGAATTCAAGCATTTTTGGCTATTCTGCAACAGTAAATTAACAAAATGAGAGATTTGAAAATTAAATCCACATGAAATGGATAGATATATGTTTGTAGAGAGAGAGAGAGAGAGAGAGAGCAGAGAGCTAGGGTTTTGATTATACTATGTGTGGCTTCTTAGAGTGTTCGGAGATGGACTTGGATCTGCGAATTTTTGAGTGTTGATGTTCCTTCTTTGGAGTTTGAAGCTGGTATTCCTTCATCTCTCTTCCCTCTCTTCTCTGTGATTATGATTATATTTTGGCGGGAGGATTTCAAACTTGTAACAATAGTGAGAATGGTCTTCCTTCTCGGGGTTGTAGACCGTTCGAGTTGTAACCGGTGTTAAAACCTTATTCAAATTCAATTTGTTTGGTAAATAAGTTAATGTTGAATACATTTTAAATCAAATTTTAACAGTCAATCATTTGTTCTGTTCACTCAGTTCGATAAATTTAAAATTTTATAAAAATATTAAATTATTCAAGTTTGACTCGATAAAAACTCGTTTGAAATTAATTCAAAAATTAAATAAATCAAGCTTGAAAAAATTTAAAAAATTGTAAAAAAATTTAAACCAAATTTAAACATTCACCTATTCGACTCATTTATTACCTCTATATCTCCTGCATATCATACTACTATCCATATATCCTTTAATACTCTATTCCATGGTCTCATATTGGACTCACACGATAATTTGAACTATTCCTCTTATAGGTTTAACGGTAAAGATAAGTTGTATAAAAAATCAACTTAATCACATATTATTTGATAAAAACAAATTACTATTTTATTTTTTAATATATATGCCAATTATGAGTTTAAAACTTAAATCGTTTATTTTATAATACAAAATAATATTTATTCATCTATTTATGAATATCTGATTACGCTTTATTTTAACACGGATGATCAAAAGATCTTCATTACAAAGGTTGTGAAATGAACAATTCGAATCATTGTTGTGAAGTATAAAACCCACAAAATAGAATATGAAATTGATCCAACGAAGCTTAGCCGTCTGATCAGTCGTTTGGGTCAGGCCAAGCAACCAGCTAGGCTAGTTGCACTTTGTTAGAAAGTTAGGGCTAATAAAATAACAACCGTGCTACGTCGCTCGAAACTAAGCCGCCCCTAATCCCTCGAACCAAAAACGACGTCGTTTCGTCGTTTTTGAATTTTTTTTTTTTTTTTTTTTTTTGCAGAAGAAGAACGAAGCTCGGAGAAGAAGAAGGAAGAAAGGAGGGAGGGAGGGAGGAGGAGGAGGGACTAGAGGGGGCATAATATTCAGGGGAGGAGGAGGCGGAGGTGGGGCGACGGCGGGGAGGAGGAGCTGCTGCTGCTGCTGCGACGAGAGGCAGAGGCGGGGCGACGGCGGGGAGGAGGAGCTGGCGGCGAGGCGACGACGGCGGGCGCTGCTGCGACGAGAGGTAGAGGCGGGGCGACGGCGGGGAGAAGGAGCTGGCGATGAGGCGACGACGGCGGGCGGCGAGACGATCGGAGCTCTCCTCTCCTCTCTCTCTTTCTCCTTCTCTCCTCCTCTCCTCTTTCTCTCTTCTCTTTGTCTCCCTCTCCTCTTCCTCTCTACAGACTAAAAATCGAAGGGAAAAAAAAAAAAAAAAACCTAATGCCCAAAACGAGGGAGCAGGGATTTTCGTGCTCTCAAACATTATTCATAAAATAATTACCAACAGATTTTATGAACTTGAGCTTATTCTCGTGTCTGATTAGTCGTTTGGGCCAGGCCAAGCAACCAGCTAGGCTAGTTGCACTTTGCTAGAAAGTTAGGGCTAATAGAATAATTACCAGCAGATTTTATGAACTTAAGTTTATTCTTGTGAGTTTTTACACTGTGTTTGGTTGCGTGAGTTTGGAAGAGATTTACAAAGAGAAATGAAAAAAATATGTGAAATTATGTGAAATATAAATAAATTTTATTAATATTTGACTTACATTTTCTTTTTTCTTTTTCAAATCTCAGTGTTAATGATTTTTTTACGGATTTGCCAATCATTTTAATACTAGAATTTGTTTGATAGCTTAAGAAATAAAACTCAAACGAACATTTGTTATTTTTATTTTTTTTCCAAAACTAAATTTTTTTCATAAAAAAAAAGAAGAAAAAAGAATCAATTACAAAATAAAATAAAATAAATAGTTACGAGCAGAATTACTTCAGTTATTAGGCATTTATGAAATTTTGTATTATTATTATGAATTAAATTTATCATAGTTATAAGATTTTGTGTTGTATAGTTATAAACTAAATTAACATTAATTATAAAAATTAGTATTGCTTAATTATGAATCAAAGTGGGGCTTTTATAATGTTTTTGGTCAAGAATTATTTGAGTTATGTTAGGGATCTCAAATAAATAAATTTTCTACCAAACTTAGTGTGAGATCCACACACATGTGATTTGTGTGGGTCACACATCCATGTGAGATGTTTGATTAAAAATTTAATAATTTATTTAAAATTCATAGCATTTTTTGAACTATTTTGGTCGTGTTGTATCACCCATTAATATTGTTGAACCCTCGCATGGAAACCTAAAAAAAAAATAAATAAATCATTAATTGTTCAAGTTGGCCCTAGTGGCTCACTAATTATCAATTCTAGCCATCATTACTCCATTTGTGGCTTCAACCTTTCCAAAATGGTGCAAAGACATTGGCAATCCCCTAATGCTCAGCCCTAATCGTCTTCTTAATGCTTGAAATCTTATCTAATTACTTTCTTAGTGCTTGAAATATTGTCTCCGGAATGCTATGCACACATCACCGAAATGTACATAGAAAAATTAACAGTAAATTATCAATAGGTCATAATAATTGGACTTAGTTCTCATCAAATCCTATTGAAAATAAGTTTTCGAAAAATTATAGCTAAAAATAAATTTTTATGACAATTTTTTATATATATCGTTAAAAATTGACAATTAATGACTTTTTTTTGTCACGATTTTTATAAGTTGTCTCTAAAACTTAGAAGTAGTGATATTTTTCTATAACGAATTTCTCAAACTATCGTTGAAAATTGAAAATTGAAAATTGAAAATTGAAAATTGAAAACTAGTGACCTTTTTTATGACGCTTTTTTTAAACTGTCGCTAAAATTTATAATTAGTGACATTTTTTGTGATTAAATTTTTAAATTGTCGCTGAAAATTAATTAGTAACTTTTTTAATAGTGTTTGATGAAAAAACATCATTAATTATCTTTTGGGAACAGGTTATTTTATTAACTTTTTGGATAAAATATAAGGTAAAAAACTAATATGTTTGGAATGACTTTTAGTTTTTTACGAAAAGATGTATAAAAAGTAAAGAGAAAAGAGAATTTTTGACTGTTTTATATAAGTTACAAGTTTTTTGATTTTTTAGTAATTTTTTTACTTTTAAATTTAAACTGTTGCATGTCAAACGATGCATAAATCCACCTATTAGAACATATACATAAATTTCCCAAAATTAATGCATATTTCATGTTCATTATGGGCTGTACGTAGCATTATTGATATAGTAACAAAATTCGCCTATATATTGACATGCACACTTGGAATCCATTATTTTCATCATTCATACATCCCTTTTTTGTCGAGCAACAAGAGTGGTATGTTCTGTTATCCTTGTTTTATTAATGCTGTTGTGGTTTTGTTTACTTAGACTTCCTAATTTGTTTTACATAACTTCTTTTAAGGTTAGCGACGCGGCTTGAACTATGAAACCCTTTCTTCTAATCTTGGTAGTTTTCATGTCGATATTGGCAACTCTACAAGCCAATACAGAAAGGCTCACTTTGGTGGATTATCAGCTTCTAAGTGATGCAAATCGTAGTCGAAAGGTTAATATTGGTGCAAACAATAAGGGCTCAAATGAAAAAAGTAAAAGTACTAGCATTGATGCGGAGAGTGAGCACAATGATGATTATAAAGTTGAGATCCAGCACGTCCCCACTCCGGAGGGCCACCACTCCTGCGTATGTTGTTCAAATGAAAAAAATTGTATCAATATCAATACATAAGCAGTGGGTCTACAAATTTAGAAAAAATAAATAAATAAATATCATAAATTTATCGAGAATACAAAATGAAAATCTAAGATTCGTTCATGAAGTGGGCCATACAAAAAAGGTTAAATCTTCATCACAAATCTGTATTCCTAGATCAATTTCTGAGTTTGTCTTCAAAGTATAGAGAATTTTTCATATATAGTAGTCAAAAGTGTGTAATGTCTCTCCTCCCCAAATATTAATTTCCAAAAACTATCAATTGGATCAACAATTTTAATGTAATAGTGTGTTTGTCCAATTATAGACAATTATGCAATAATCTAATTACTATCTATTTTTTTCAAAATGGTTACCTATACTTGTGACCAGGGGTATGCGTGGTATAATTCAAGTGATTTGAAAGTAAAATTATAAATTAAATCGTAAATGACGGATTGACAAATAAGCAAACCACAATTTGAGTGGTTTGAGGCAATTTCAATTTATTAATTGATTGAAGAATATTCTTAAACAATCATCAAGCAATTACATAATATATAACACTAATTTACATAATATTTTATATATATATTAGAAAAAAATGCCTGTGCAAAGCACAAACACTATTGTAATAAATTTACATTTCACAAATATAATATTTTTGTAGTAAATTTAAATTTCACAACTACAATACTTTTAGTTTTACTGAAAATAATATTTAGTTTGTTACAAAATAGATAATATCATTTTATAAAATATAAATTTTTAATTTTTAATTTTATCAATTTAAACTATATTTTTTATTTTATTTTTTTCAATATAAGCCTTCTGTCTATTTTTGGTTTAGATTACAAACAAATAAAAAGATTAGGATTTAAATAGATAAAATTAAAAATCTAAAGTTTATTTTATTATATGGTTCAAACCCTTGAATTTTTTTAAATAATTTTTATATTACATTTCACTTTTATTCCAATAAACCAAACATTACTCAATATAACATTTACAAAATTATATAAAATTATATAATATTTACGAAATCGCGAAATTTCAATGGTAAAGATTGAATGGCAAGAACATTACGGAACCAAAGCTACTTGGAAAAAAGAAGAGGAAATGCAACACCGATATCCGCATCTATTTCTGTTTTAAGGTAAAACAAGTTTGAGGGACCAAACTTATTTAAGGGGGGAAGAGTGTAATAACCCAACCCTCGTATGTGTTTCTGTGCAAAATTTCAGTCCCTTATTCTGTGCATTTAAATGCTTAATGTAAGATTTCATGACAAATTAAGTTTAAGTAAATGGATCTCATGATTAGAGATCTAGATCTGTTTGGTAAGAAAAGAACAAGTGTTACAATTATAATGTTTGAAACAGAAATTGGAAGCTTTAGAGGCCTAATTATCTGAAATTGATTTTATATTTGGAATCAGCGTAATTTTTAAGTAATAATAAGCATTGTTGTGAAAATTCAATTTGGAACGATTAAATTGATTTAATTTTGTCTTATTCACCTTGTATCCATATATAGCCATGTTCTTTAGATGTTTGACTTAGACTTAGAGCTCTACAAAATATCCTGAGAGAGAAGGAAGAGAAGAAATTGAGAGGAGGAGTTCTTCAAGCTAGGAATTGGGGAAATCTAGAAGATTTAGAGCTCCAGGTATGTGATTTTACTTGAAGTAATTGGTAATCATGCAAGCTAGGGTGTGTGTTGGTTAAATTGAGAGATGTATTATCATGGAATTGGTTAGAAGTTAAGTTAGGTTAGGGAGTAGAAGTTCATTCTATCCCTTATCATTGTATTCATTATCATTCTACTTCTTACCCTCACATGTTTGAACTCATTTATGGCTTTGAATGATTGTGTATACGGTTGGTAATTATTTAGAAGAAATTCAAAGTGTTTAACTTATGTTATGAATTGTAAGGAATTGAAGAATCAATTCATGATGAAATTGATACATGTTTGACATGTCTTTGTACATAAATTTTGAACCATGTTACATTAATTAAAAAGCCTATTACAAGCCTTAGAAAAGCTCACCAAAAAATGGGATTTTGTATAAATTTTCGGACTGTTTTGCATAGAATCGCCGCACATGCGGGGGTCATGGCCGCACGTGCGGGAACCCCAGCCGCATGTGCGGGAGTCATGGCCGCACATGCGGTGAATGAGGAATTTTGGCATTTTGAACACTGCTAAAAAAGCACGTGCGGGGCATCACTGCCGCACGTGCAGGGCTATTTGCCGCACGTGCGGGGCTCACAGCCGCACGTGCGGCCCATGCTGAGAAAAACGATTTGCTCCGTTTTGCGTGTTCGACCCTCGAATATTTTTAGAAATTGTATTTTATGCCTACTAATGTTGTAAAATACGTTTAAAGTGAAATGACTCAGGAAATGACTCAGCAAAGAAAGATGAACTAAATTGCAAGTTGTGAATGTGTGCAAGACGTACTTGGGAGGAACTAGCGCGTCATCACAACACAGTGAGTAGTAGTACTGTTATAGTACACTCTCCTACAGCTAATGATTACTAATAGCATTCTGTTAACGCGTGCCAATTATGTAACTTGTTTGAATGTTTGAAAGGATGTGAATGAACCATGTCAAAGAATTCAAATGTTTTTATCCGACTTCGGAACTCTGTAAGACTTTGATATCTGGGCCTATGGCCACTCTGTTTAAGTTGTTATGGTATGAAACAAAATGCTACACGAAACTAAGTGCTACAAAGTGAGTCACCTCTAGAGTTCGTGTGAGACACCTCTTGCGTTCATACATGCATGCTTAAGGGCTTAATGCCAACACTCAAGGGCTCAACGCCAATATGTTCAATGGCTCAATGCCAACATGTTTAAGGGCTTAATGCCAATATGTTCAAGGGCTTATTACCACTCCGTTCAAGGGCTTAAAGCCATTATGTTTCAAGATTAGGCCCAAGGCCGTTCTGAAATTAATACAGAATTAGATTAAACATGTAATTTCTGCATTTATACGCATTGATTGGTCTTATGATTTAAGTTGAACATCAAATTATATATGTATTACTATTCATTGAGCCTGGCTCACTCTGTGTTATGTCTGCGTCTGTAGGTAACCAACCGGGAGGTCAGTCCTAACCCATGAAGTCCATTCTCTTTGGTCGACCTCTACGTGTCAAGGCCTAAAGGAAGCCACTTTCATTTTTGTGAAGTTTTGTTAAGATGTTGGCTTGTACCCTTATTTTTGTGTAGGGTTGAAAGTACATAACTTCTTTAACCCAATGTTTTTGTTATACACCCAAATGTAGGGCCGGGTCTGTATATGTATATGTATATAACCGATGCTCAGGTGTATGTTTTGGATTTTATTTACCTGTTATGATGTTTATGATCCTGACATAGTAGTAGTAGCTCAATGGAGTTTGTTTCTATTATTTTATGATATTGAGTGCTTCCATTAAGGCCCCGTATGTTATGTATATCAGGTTAAATGTCCGTTTCTGAGTAGGTCATGCCCAAATTTTAAGGGGCGAGTTTGGGGCGTGACAAGTGGTATCAGAGCACGAGTTGCTATCTCACACACGGATTCATTGAGCTTTAGGGTGCCTAGAAAAGACTTAGGCATTATGCATGACATCCTAAAAGTATATGAAAAGATCGATGGCAACGTTAAGTGTACTCTGATAATGCTAACAATTTTGAACTATGTCTATGGTATATAATTGATTGTTGTGTAGATTATGGTGAGAACAAGGAAAGAAGACCCGGAAGATACTACTTCTGCACGGTTGGATAGGATGGAGCGAATGATTACGGAAATGGCGGAGACCCTACGGCAACAACAACAACAGCAACAGCCACAGCCTCAACCGCCACCACCACCGCCACCGCCACCGGTACCTCCACCGGCAGTACAAGATTTTCAAGCTGAGGATCGAACCATTACACTCACAAAGGAGTTTAAAAAGATGAAACCACCGTCATTCAAAGGGGGGATAGAACCAATGAAAGCTGAAGCATGGGTATTGGAAATAGAGAAGTTATTTGAAGTTTTCCCTTGTACTGAAGCTCAAAAGGTGCAACCGGCTGCCTTCACTCTTGAGGACGAGGCACGGAGGTGGTGGATGCTTACAAGAACTATATGTCAAGGATTGACATGGGACAGATTCTTGGAATTATTCTATGATAAGTATTTTCCTCAAAGTATGCGAGATAAGAAGGTGACTGAATTTGAAACTCTTAGTCAAGGAAACAAGACCGTTCTGAATATGAAGCCCAATTTGCAGAGCTAGCCCGGTTTGCACCTCATATGGCAGACACGGATTATAAGAAGGCACGAAAGTTTGAAGGGGGATTACGGGGTGCTATCCTGGACCGAGTTAATATGTTGAAGCTACCCATTCATGTTGATGTGTTGGAGAGGGCTATCATAGCGGAAGAAAATATTGCTACTCAGAACCGGATTTCTGAATGGAAAGGGAAGAGACAGAATACTCAATGGTCAAAGGGGACAACTACTCCGCCAAATAAGAAACAAAATTCAGGGATTTCAAATACTTCTACCCCTAGTCAAGATTCAATTCCTGTTTGTCTGGAATGCGGAAAGATGCATCGTGGAACGTGCTATCGGAAGTCTGGAGCTTGTTTTCAGTGTGGTAAAACGGGCCATTTGATAAAAGATTGCCCTCAGAGAAAACAACAAAATGGCAATAAGACTACTACCAGTTCAGCGGGGTTTACACCACCTACCAACACCAAGTCAACTGCTAAACCTAATAACAATAAAGACACTGCAAGACAGGGCAGGGTGTTTGTTTTGGTTCCGGGAGATATGCAAAATGCGGCAACGGTAGTGTCAGGTACATTTATGGTTCACGGTCATTCTGCTTATGTATTGTTTGATTCTGGCTCTACCCATTCTTTTGTGTCAAAATTATTTGCTCCCAATTTAGATAAATCTGAGGAAGTACTATCTTATATGTTATGTGTGTCCTCACCTTTGGAGGATTCTATGATTTGTACTTCTGTATACTTAGCTTGTGAACTCCAACTTGGGGATAGTCGGGTGTATGCTAATCTGTTACCTCTCGACATGACCTATTTTGATGTTATTCTGGGAATGGATTGGTTGAGTGAATATGGTGCGACTATAGACTGTTTGACTAAGCAAATCAATTTCCACCCTTCGGGTCAGTCAGGGTCTGTTTTTCAGGGACAGGAAGTGACTTCTCCACCTTATTTAATTTCCGCAGCAAAGGCTTGTAAATTAATTCAGAAAGGGTGTCAGGGGTATTTATGCAGTGTTCTGGAGAGGCAAGTGATGAATGGGGACGTTAACATGATTCCAGTTGTCCGTGAATTTCTGAATGTTTTTCCGGAAGAGTTACCAGGGCAGTTGATAGACCGTAAAATTGAGTTTACAATTGAAGTAGCGCCGGGAACTCAACCCATTTCTAAAACTCCGTATAGAATGTCACCAGCTGAAATGAAGGAATTAAAAGTTCAATTGCAAGATTTACTTGATAAAGGGTTCAAGCGCCCGAGTGTGTCTCCTTGGGGTGCACCAGTTCTGTTTGTGAAAAAGAAGGATGGAATACTTCGTTTGTGTATTGATTACAGGGAACTCAATAAAGTGACAATTAAGAATAAGTACCTTTTACCACGGATTGACGATTTATTTAACCAGCTTCAAGGGCGCAAGTTTTTTCCAAAATCGATCTACGATTTGGGTACCATCAATTAAAGGTCAAAACTAATGATGTTGAAAAGACAGCTTTTCGAACTCGATACGGTCATTATGAATTTCTGGTTAAGCCCTTTGGAGTTACCAACGCACCGGCAGCATTTATGGATCTGATGAATCGTGTCTTTAAACCTTATCTGGACGAGTTTGTGGTAGTTTTTATCGATGATATCCTCATTTACTCGAAGAATGTGGAAACTCATGAGAATCATCTTCACTTGATCCTTCAGACCCTCAGGGAAAAGAAACTGTATGCAAAGCTGAACAAATGTGAATTTTAGCTACAGGAGGTGGCATTTCGGGGGCATATTATAACAAAGGAAGGAGTTTCTGTTGACCCACACAAAATTGAGACGATCGTGAATTGGCCAACTCCCACTAATGTGACTGAAGTGCGTAGCTTTATGAGATTAGCTGGATATTACCGAAGGTTCATTCAAGATTTTTCCAAAATCGCAGTGCCGCTTACACAACTGACTCGAAAGGGAGTTGCATTTGAATGGTCTGTAGAGCGGGAATCTACTTTCCAGGAATTGAAAACAAAATTAACTACAACACCAGTGCTGGCCTTACCATCCGGAACTGAAGGGTTTGTAATCTACAGTGATGCTTCGCATAAAGGGCTTGGTTGTGTACTTATGCAAAATGGAAGGGTTATCGCTTATGCCTCTCGACAGCTGAAACCCCATGAGAAGAATTATCCCATGCATGATCTTGAGCTAGCAGCAGTAATCTTTGCTTTGAAGATATTGAGACACTATCTGTACGGCACTACCTGTGAAGTGTACACTGACCATAAGAGTCTCAAGTATCTTTTTACTCAAAAAGAGTTGAACATGCGGCAGCAACGGTGGTTGGAACTTATTAAAGATTATGACTTGCAAATTCATTACCATCCCGGTAAAGCCAACACAGTTGCAGACGCGCTTAGTCGGAAGAATATGGGAAATTTGGCAAATTTGATTACAGGGCAAAAGGAACTAGCAACTGAACTGGTTAAAATGGAAGTAGACCTTGTACTACATGGGCAAGAAGCTATAATGGCAGCAGTGATGGCTCAACTGAACCTACTTGAGGAGATTAAATTACATCAAATCGAAGATGAAACTTTAAAGAAGACATATGGAGAGTTAGAGACAAAACCAAAACCGGGATTCAGTTTAGTAAACTCAGTGCTCAAATTTCAAAACCGAATATGTGTTCCCAATGTGTTGGAACTTAAACAGAAACTGATGGAAGAAACACATACCTCAAGATTTTCAGTGCATCCAGGGAGTACTAAAATGTACCGAGATTTGAAGCAAAATTTTTGGTGGCCAAGTATGAAGAAGGAGATTGCGGAGTTCGTCTCTAAATGTTTGCAATGTCAGTAAGTAAAAACGGAGCATCAAAGACCAGCAGGTTTGTTACAACCCCTTCCAATCCCAGAATGGAAGTGGGAACATTTGACCATGGATTTTGTTGTGGGGTTTCCACAAACTCCTCGGGGTATGAATTCAATATGGGTCATTGTGGACCGATTAACTAAGTCCGTTCACTTCCTACCAGTGAAGACTTAGTATAACGCAGATAAACTGGCGGTAATTTATATGAATGAAATTGTAAGGCTTCATGGTGTTCCGGTCTCAATTGTGTCAGATAGGGATCCAAAGTTTGTTTCCAGCTTTTGGCAAAGTTTGCAGGAAGCAATGGGTACAGAATTGAAGTTCAGCACAGCCTTCCACCCTCAGACTGACGATCAATCTGAGAGAACGATACAAACTCTGGAGGATATGCTCCGAATGTGTGTGCTAGATTTTCAAGAAAGTTGGGAAACCCATCTACCGTTGGTAGAGTTTGCGTACAATAATAGTTACCACTCAAGTATTGAAATGGCACCCTATGAAGCTCTGTATGGAAGACCATGTCGTTCTCCCGTATGTTGGGCCGAAGTTGGAGATAGATCGTTGCTAGGGCCCAAAATTGTTCAGTTGACAACTGAAAAGGTTAAAATTATTCGAGAAAGGTTGAAGACTACTCAAAGTAGGCAGAAAAGTTATGCGGATAACCGACGAAGGGATTTGGAATTTGAAGTGGATAGTCATGTCTTTGTAAAGGTCACTCCGAGGAAAGGACATCCAAGATTCGCAAAAAGGGGTAAGTTAACACCCCGATATGTTGGTCCCTTTCCAATTTTGGAAAGAGTAGGTTCGGTAGCTTACCGGGTTGTCCTTCCGCCAAATATGAGTCAAGTACATAACGTATTTCATGTTTCTATGCTTCGAGGATACCTTTCGAATCCGTCACATGTCATTAATTACCACCAAGTTGAGTTGGATGACAAGCTAACTTACGAAGAAAAACCAATTCGAATTCTAGATCGGCAAGTAAAACAAGTTACGAAATCACGAAATTTCAATGGTAAAGGTTGAATGGCAAGAACATTACGGAACCGAAGCTACTTGGGAAAAGAAGAGAAAATGCAACACCGATATCCGCATCTATTTCCGTTTTAAGGTAAAACAAGTTTGAGGGACCAAACTTATTTAAGGGGGGGAGAGTGTAATAACCCAACCCTCGTATGTGTTTCTGTGCAAAATTTCAGTCCCTTATTCAGTGCATTTAAATGCTTAATGTAAGATTTCATGAGAAATTAAGTTTAAGTACATGGATCTCATGATTAGAGATCTAGATCTGTTTGGTAAGAAAAGAACAACTGTTACAATTATAATGTTTGAATCAGAAATTGGAAGCTTTAGAGGCCTAATTATCTGAAATTGATTTTATATTTGGAATCAGCGTAATTTTTAAGTAATAATAAGCATTGTTATGAAAATTCAATTTGGAACGATTAAATTGATTTAATTTTGTCCTATTCACCTTGTATCCATATATAGCCATGTTCTTTAGATGTTTGACTTAGACTTAGAGCTCTACAAAATATCCTGAGAGAGAAGGAAGAGAAGAAATTGAGAGGAGGAGTTCTTCAAGCTAGGAATTGGGGAAATCTAGAAGATTTAGAGCTCCAGGTATGTGATTTTACTTGAAGTAATTGGTAATCATGCAAGCTAGGGTGTGTGTTGGTTAAATTGAGAGATGTATTATCATGGAATTGGTTAGAAGTTAAGTTAGGTTAGGGAGTAGAAGTTCATTCTATCCCTTATCATTGTATTCATTATCATTCTACTTCTTACCCTCACATGTTTGAACTCATTTATGGCTTTGAATGATTGTGTATATGGTTGGTAATTATTTAGAAGAAATTCAAAGTGTTTAACTTATGTTATGAATTGTAAGGAATTGAAGAATCAATTCATGATGAAATTGATACATGTTTGACATGTCTTTGTACATAAATTTTGAACCATGTTACATCAATTAAAAAGCCTATTACAAGCCTTAGAAAAGATCACCAAAAGATGGGATTTTGTATAAATTTTCGGACTGTTTTGCATAGAATCGCTGCACATGCGGGGGTCATGGCCGCACGTGCGGGAACCCCAGCCGCACATGCGGGGAATGAGGAATTTTGGCATTTTGAACACTGCTAAAAAAGCACGTGCAGGGCATCACTGCCGCATGTGCAGGGGTATTTGCCACACGTGCGGGGCTCACAGCCGCACGTGCGGCCCATGTTGAGAAAAACGATTTGCTCCGTTTTACGTGTTCGACCCTCGAATATTTTTAGAAATTGTATTTTATGCCTACTAATGTTGTAAAATACGTTTAAAATGAAATGACTCAGGAAATGACTCAGCAAAGAAAGATGAACTAAATTGCAAGTTGCGAATGTGTGCAAGACGTTCTTCGGGAGGAACTAGCACGTCATCACAACACAGTGAGTAGTAGTACTGTTATAGTACGCTCTCCTACAGCTAATGATTACTAATAGCATTCTGTTAACGCATGCCAATTATGTAACTTGTTTGAATGTTTGAAAGGATGTGAATGAACCATGTCAAAGAATTCAAATGTTTCTATCCGACTTCGGAACCCTGAAAGACTTTGATATCTGGGCCTATGGCCACTCTGTTTAAGTTGTTATGGTATGAAACAAAGTGCTACATGGAACTAAGTGCTACGAAGTGAGTCACCTCTAGAGTCCGTGTGAGACACCTCTTGGGTTCATACATGCATGCTTAAGGGCTTAATGCCAACACTCAAGGGCTTAATGCCAATATGTTCAAGGGCTCAATGCCAACATGTTTAAGGGCTTAATGCCAATATGTTCAAGGGCTTATTACCACTCCGTTCAAGGGCTTAAAGCCATTATGTTTCAAGATTGGGCCCAAGGCCGTTCTGAAATTAATACAGAATTAGATTAAACATGTAATTTCTGCATTTATACACATTGATTCGTCTTATGATTTAAGTTGAACATCAAATTATATATGTATTACTATTCATTGAGCCTGGCTCACTCTGTGTTATGTCTGCTTCTGTAGGTAACCAATCGGGAGGTTAGTCCTAACCCATGAAGTCCATTCTCTTTGGTCGACCTCTACGTGTCAAGGCCTAAAGGAAGCCACTTTCATTTTTGTGAAGTTTTGTTAAGATGTTGGCTTGTACCCTTATTTTTGTGTAGGGTTGAAAGTACATAACTTCTTTAACCCAATGGTTTTGTTATACGCCCAAATGTAGGGCCGGGTCTGTATATGTATATGTATATAACCGATGCTCAGGTGTATGTTTTGGATTTTATTTACCTGTTATGATGTTTATGATCCTGGCATAGTAGTAGTAGCTCAATGGAGTTTGTGCTCAATGGAGTTTGTTTCTATTATTTTATGATATTGAATGCTTCCGTTAAGGCCCCGTATGTTATGTATATCAGGTTAAATGTCCGTTTCTGAATAGGTCATGCCCAAACTTTTAGGAGCGAGTTTGGGGCGTGAAAAAATGAGTAAAGCTGAGTATGAGATCTGTATATCTGAATCGAAGCTCACTCTCACCACGAAGAGTTGTGTTTGAATGTTGAAAATCTGCAAAATTGATGAACTGTTTCGTGAACTTATAAAATCTGGAAAATCGAAAATCTAAAAAGCACATTTATATCAAATAATTGTGTTCGAATCTAGAAAATCATACTAGAGAGAGAAAGAGATAGAGAGAGATTAAGATCTAGAGCCGTTTCAAATATATGATTTGTGATCTCCATCACTTCAAATCTCTGAGCTTGTTGTTGAGTTGGAATCAAATGATTGGATGAGACCGATAAACCGAACACATCACCACCATCAAAATTGGAGGAGAGATAAGGGATTTGGCATGAGAGAATGGGAAGGCAGGTTTGGCGGAGGAG